AAAGACATTGAGGTGCTGGAGTGTCCAGAGAAGGGCAAAGGAGCTGAGGAAGGGTCTGGAGCACAAGGCTTATGAGAAGCAGCTGAGGAAGCAGCTCCAGTTTCAACAGGAGAAAATTAGGCTCAGGGGACACCATATCACTCCCTACAACTACCTGAAAAAAGGTTGTAGATGGGGGGTGTTGGCCTCTTCTTCCAATTAACAAGAAATAGAGCAAGAGGAAATTACCTCAGATTTCACCAGGGGAGGTTTAGATTGGAAATCTAATTTTAAAATTAAATTTAAAATTAAATTTAAAATTAAGGAAACATTTCTTCACCAAAAGGGTTGTCAAGCACTGGAGCAGTCTGCCCAGGGAAGCATCTGAGTCACCATCCCTGGAGGAGACATTTAGATGTGGCAGCTGGGGACATGGTTTAGTGGTGGCCTGGGCAGTGCTGGGTTAACTCACTGACCTTGAAGGTCAGTGAGACAAGTGACCAGGTTGGACTCACTGACCTTAGAGGTCTTTTCTAACCAAAACAATTCTGAGATTCTACATCTGCAAATAGGGCATTGGCTCTGCCTTCGGAGGTGAGCTCTGTTGTGGTGGATCAGATGGCCAGGTGCAGTAACACCACCCCTAATCCGATTTTCTCAAAGGTTAGCAATCCTGGGTGAATGGCCCAGGTCTGCCTTGCCTGCATCAAAGGGGTACTGACAGATCTGTGTGATCAGTGCAAACTCCCAGCACAGGACAGTAATAACTAAAGGGCAAAGAGGTCCCTCTGGGAGGGTAATCCTGTGGGTCTCTCATGGAGCGACAGAGGGACTGTTGATGCTGCACTTGGCACTGACCATAACTGCACTTCCTTGGGGAAAAACACACCTGGATTCACAGCTCTCTGGGCATCACAGGAATTAACAGATATACAGGAAGGAAAACTGATTGCTTTCATCCTGGCTGGCTACACACACCAAGTGTTACCATCTTCCCATTCAGTGCTCTGCTTCCACTATTCTTTGTTGCTGATCTTTCTTTTTTCACCAACTCCACAAAAATGCCCCATTTTGGATTGACCATCAGACAACAGATTAATCATAATCCTTCTGGATGTGGAATGGAAACAGGCAGTCCAAAGAGCTTATTTTTGTCTTGAGGCCGGGATTTACACGGTGCTTTCTTTACTGGAAGGTTGAGGAGAAGAAACTGTGCTGTATGACATCTCATGGGTGTCCCATAACTTCCAGCAGTAAATCCATTTCTCCAGAGGCAGAAAAAAGAAGGCAGCAGCAGCTAATTATACCCTGTGGGGCAATTTGCTGTTTCATTTCTTGGTGTACTCTCTGACTAGTGGAAAATCACTCTTGGCAAACACAAAACTTACCCTGCTTCCAAAAGGCGCATCTCTAAATTATTAATCCAGAGTACACAGAACCACGAAAGGTGGAATACTGAGCAAAGGCTCAACTGACACTCTGGAAGTTGAGGCAGATATGGAAGACTCCCCTCTAATTTATTTATTCCTTTTCTGTTCTGTTATCCTGATATGCTGCTTCCAGTTACCACTGCACCCCACACTGTATGGTATTACGTGATTTTGTTTTCAGATTGTTGGAGATAAAGTTACTTCATTATTAATATATATGCACTGTGCATATCCATAAATATTGAATATATACGTGTGCGTGTGTGTGTAAACCTACTGGAAGTGTTAATAGTTAAGATAAACGAAGTCCATTATTGCAATGAGTGACTATTTCTATGACCCTATTTGCAATAAAAGCAGATTCAATGATATGAGAAAATTGCTAGGTTTCAGAATAATTGAACCAGGCCAGATGAATCCCCACAAAGGCATCATTTACAAAATACTTTGCTTGTCTAAAATATTTATTCCCACAGAAGGAAATGGAAAAAGAGTTCATATGGTTACACAGCTATCCTCTGAGTGTAAAATTGTTTTATCATGTTATGTTTATGCCCTAGACATCTTCCACTGGGGTATTGCAGAAGAAATGCTGGCTGCGCAGTTAATTCCTTTGTGTGGACTGTTCATATTTTTTCTCTGGGAAGTCAATCATGTTTTGTTTAGGCATGTTTTGTTTTTCTGCTGAGCAAACACTTAAGCAACCCTTTTCTTGCTAAAACATGTTTGCATATACAATGTGCACCATTCAATGTCAGTGCTACACAGAGAGTTGAAATGTTTTTGCTTTCCCTCCTATGTACTATGGGAAGTAGTGGATTCCTTAATAAAAATGTTGGTGTTGCTCTTTAAGATTGCAGTATATTATTCGTGTTTAAGGGCTACATCAGGGGTTATAGATAATTTTAGTTTGTCTTTTATTGAAAGCCTGGATAGACCTTTACTATTAAATGTTCACAGCAAAATGATTCCAAGCAATCTACAGACAAAGAATTACTCCCAGCAATTATCCACTGAATAAATCTGAATAATGAATACATTCACAAAAGTCACTATCTATTTGTGAACAATTAGCTGAAAGAAACAGAGGTGACAGTCACAAGCTAAATAATTCATTTATGAATTATTTGTCCAGCTTTGTTTCTGACATACATTGCATGAAATGAGATCAAAGCTTAGATGAAAAATTACTTTAAAAGGAAGGACAATATTAAAGGAAATTCTTACAGCTTCTAATGCAGAAATCATTCCACCATAGTAACTATTATTTATTAGCAGTGATTTCAGAGGCTAGATAAGTTATTTTCCTGGACTTTTTACTTCAGGCATTGGGTTGTGTTTTATTCCCAACATATGTCAAATTTTAGGTTGTTAAACTACAATCAAAAGCACTTAGCACAAATGGAACTGTCCCTGTCTTGAGATTTGAACTGCTGACAGCTTTATCCCCTGAAACTTGAGTGCCCAGGTAACTACTAATTATTCAAGCATTTACAACCATTACTATCAATATAATTAGCACATCTTGAGATAAAAGTGAGAATGTCACTATGAAATTATCATTCCTGGTATTTAGATAGCAATCTTTCATGAAAACATTCATAAGCTGCCCAATTATTTTTCAATCAAATGAAGAAAAAAAAATGTTTACATTTACAGGGAATCTAGAACTGAAAAGAAATAATTTCTAGCATCAAAAATTATAAATGTTGTCTCCATATGTCCATTTCTTGAATAAAATAAATCCCACTGACTTCTATATTGGTGGTTTTGTGTGATGTTTTGTTGGGTTTTTTTTTGATAAATTACCAAAATATCTTTAACCAAATACTTAGAAAACTGTGAAGCCTTCCTTTGAACAAAGCTGGGTTCAGTGAAAAAGACATGAATGAGGTTTCTCATTCAGGTCTGAAAGCTGACAAGCCCCACACTGCAGGAATAAGGGGCTGCACAAGACCTTCTTATGTGCCTTGCTGGGCAACACTACTGAAAATAAGTGAGATAATTCCCATGGACAAAGTCAAAGCTAGATAAGGACTAGAGTTTGACTTCCCTAATCCCACCTTCATCAGTTTTGCTGGTCAAAACAGGCAGGTAAATTCCTTCTTACATGAATTAGAAGTGATTATCACAACAGGTGGAAGGAGGAGCCAGGGAAGCCAGGGACCATGGTTTGACAGGTTTTGTCACCTTTCTCTCTAGGGTCTGCTATAAATGAAATTTTAAAGTCTGTCTTTTCCCCAGCAAAAAAACATCCTAGATATCCTGAAATAACTTCTGTGGAACACTTGCAGAACCCACCAGAGAGGAGATTTTGGGAGCATTTCACAAGGCCTGCGGCTGTGAGCTGGTTCCAGCATGAGGAAAAGCCCTCCTTCACCCCAATGCACAGGAAAGAGAAGGTAAGATAATCCTCTCTGGGAGGCTTTTAAATATGGTGCATTCAGTGGAGAGCCCTAGACCAGCGAAATCTGTTCCTCTCCACGTGGATATTGATATCACTAAGGGCAGGCTTGAGGTCAGTAGACCCATGCAGAGGCTGAGCTGCAGGAGGGCAGCAAGTCCTGAGGGGTCTTCTGACACGTCAGCCACAGAAACCTTCTCTGCTGCTCTGGCCCAGCTTTCTCTGGATCCCAACCCTTTCCATCTACTCACCCATTCCCCATATCCCTGAGAGGAAGTGAATAAGTGGTGAAGCCCACAGAGCAGCTGTGCTCTCTGGTTCCCAGTGCCTGTATGAGCATCTTGCAACCCTCTCTGCACTGCAGAACAAGGGCCAGCCCTGACCATGACATGGAAATATCCATCCAACCACCTGCTAAGAAATCAAACCATGTACATCACACATGACACTGAAAATAAATAGTTCCAAGAAAAGAAAAAATATAAATAAAATAAAAAAAAAAATAAAAAGCACAAGCTTGTGCTTTCAGGGATAGTAAACCAGTATGTTTCAGCAATCATGGCAGATATTTTTAACTAAAAATTTTATATTTGATGATGCCCAGTCTTCAGCATTTGACAAGGGGCTGTTAAAACCTCTTGAGCAGTAAATCACCTCTCTTTCTATCAATAATCTTATTATAATATGAGTAGAAATGTCAAATGTTTAAATCCCATTTTATTACTATAATAATGGATTTAATTTGTAAAACATATAAAGTGAGGCCATAACTGTTCTGGAGGGAGGTATCTGTCATCCCACTATATTTATATAATTTCCTGATGGCTTTACCCACATATTTTGAATGGAAGAAGGATTAAAAGCAATCCCCCTTGAAAGATATTAGTGATTGGGAATGGATTCCAGGAAGAAAATCTCAGAAATGCAGCAACTGTTTTTGGAAAAGGCACCCTCAGCTTCACATTCACACAAAACAAACACGTAGGTGTTTATCTGTGACTTGCTCCATTCAGGCCCTCTCCCGGTGCCAGAAAAGCCCTGCTTCCAGCTGCACAGTCAGTATTATCACTATGTGCTATTTTTGGCTCCTGAGTACATCTCTCTTGGCGTCATCCTTCCCACTCCAGCCCTGGTACGAAGGGCGCAAACTCTTCTTTCCCCTCCCTCGTCCTCCGCTGCCGCTCCCGTCTGCGCGGTGCCGCAGAGGGGTCTCCGGACGCTACTCCCTGGTCCTTCTCATTTTCCTGGGCAAGAGGCTTTCCATCCAAAGCTTCATGCAGGAGGCTTCATGTTGGCATCCAGGGTACATGTCCCAAATATGTCCAGCCTCACTTTCTGATCCTAGTGGCAAAGAGCCACAGGTAAGTAATCTTCTGAGGGGAGATGGAGTCCCTGTGTCCAGTGCCTGGAGCTTGTTACAAATGGGTTTTTTAAGGGTCATACAATTTCCCAGCTATCACTTTGTAGGTTTCCAGCTCTTGTTGCAGTAAGTTGACGCCAGATTTCTTTCTGAGGGGACAGTGCATTGTTTGTTCTGACACTGTGTAGCTTTGATTTCCACAAGTTATTAAAGTCTAGTAAATATTGTAAAATTACTTCCTTTTGAAAGTCTTCCTTGGCTAGGTACTATCCAACCAGCTAGTTGTTCAATGATTTTCTCTTTTGATGTGATGTTGCTGCTAAGTGTTTGGAAAAGCTCATCTGGACAACAGCTGCACTTGGAGTTATAAATCTCTTCAAATACAAGGTTCAGTTTCCTTGATTGTGCCACAGGAGAAGCCCTCATAGCTAAAGCTATAACCACCCCTAGCCTGAGCTGGGCTGTGTCTCCCTAAACCTGTTTCATTTTACACAGAATAATCAAATATTCATTATGTAAGTAAGTGCATGTGTGTGGCTGTTGCAGAGTGATTGGGGTACTCACCTGGTAGATGAGAGACCCTGTTCCCAGTGACCGCTCCAATGAATATTTAAGTATTCCCTATTAAATATTCATTGGAGCAAGGGTAGGAGCAGACCTCTGCCACCCCCAAGGGAGCACCCAAACACCAGGCTGTAAAGTCATTCTTTCTTTCTTTAGGCCAATGAATATTTAATTATTCAAGGCTAAACAAGACAGCTTCAGTGGCAGAGATTGAGATTCCCTGCTCCCGTGTGTGCACCATAACTCAGATGATGAGGACGTGTCTATAAGATGTATTTTTACTTCTTTGGATTTGGAAAGAAGTCAAATCCATGTTTCCCATAACCTGGATGGAGCTTCCAGCTTCTTAGCTGCTGAATGAAAAACACAGAGCTCCAACACACACTGTCCACAGTCGTGAGACAGAGGTGATATGACCCCAGGATCAGAGAAAGCATCCTTATCAGTGTTGAGATTGGTTTTATGAATCTCTCAGGAGAAGGAATCAAAGCTAAAGACGTTCCTCACCCCACAGCTGTTCCTGCTGGCTATGTAATATGTTTTTTGAGGTTATCCAAAATGTGATGTGTAAAACCTGTTTATCCCCTTTACTCTGGGGTCTGACACCCCCAGATTGCAGACAGCAGGACCTAAACCTGATTCTGCAGTCCAGGGGGTGGGTATGTGAAATGGTGAGTGTGGGGAAAACATCCAATGAGAAAAGTCAAGGCAATGGCATTTAAAAATAACAATAAAATTATTTTTTTTTAATAAAAAAGCACAGAAGTAGTTAATTGAGGAATAGAAAGATCAAAGCAAGGAGAAAAATTGAAGTAAGGAGCAGGCAATCACTGAGTGGGGGAACAAACAAGGGTGGAAACAGGGAGCAGGGACAGTGACCAGGAGAAATAAAACCTTTATCTAGCAGAGGAACAGAGTGGAGAGATGGAAAGGGCTAGAGAAGAATATTTCAGTCTTAAAAATAAATTACTAAGAATGTCTACCCCTCACTTTGATCTTTGAAAAGTGGAAAAATTGCCACCTGCTCTCTACTGCCAGAGGGCAGTGGGTGTCTGAACCAAGGTTCTTTGGATTCACTTTGCGCAGTTGACTGTGGGATCATTCCCATGCAGAACAGCGAATTATTGAAGCTCTGTTTCTTGTAATCTCAAAGAATTCACAGCATTATGATTCTGTTGTTAAAGACTAAATGTGATTTCTAAGCAAAATTCAGAGCAACAGCATAATTGTTACATTGAAGTGCAAGTAAATTACCTTCTTGAACCCACCAGAAGTGTCCAAATCCAAGTCAGCTGCCTAGTCCCAGTTGTTGAAATGGTAACACTGCATTCTGAATGAAACTGCTTAGCTCAGAACATTTCAAAGGTGCTCCAAATGATATGGTTCATATATTTCATATCACATTTATGTTCTTCTAAGAACAGCCCTAGGCTGTTGAGCAGCCACCATCAGCAAATATTTGTTACAATTTAGGGAAACCCTTTCTGAAAATTTTGCTGTCCATCCCTTTAACTATTCTTTTCCCTGAGAATACAGCTTTAGAGCACTGCAGGTCTATGGCAATGTAGGAATATCCCTTTGTCTTGCTGTAAATATTGCAGTTGACTATGTCCAAGCAGATGTGTTACATTCCATGTCCTTCGAGGGACACAGTAACAGGGCCACCAAAGGTCAAAACTTCACCCAGATACATTAACCCTGTTTGAATGGCCATGTGTTTTGTGTTTTGATGAACTCTTTAGACAGATGACAGTAGCTATCCTCCTTCCATTCTGAGGAAAAGGCCACCTGTGGACCAAGCTGTGGGGGAAAAGCGGAGAGCAGAGAGAAGGGTTCGATTTCGTGAGCCAGAGGAAGTCATTGAACATGGTATGCTCAAGTTATCAGGAATTTTGGCATGACCTTTCTGGCTTTTAACATCCACTCTGTCTGTCCACATCAGCTTCCCCCTCTGATAATTTGTGATTTTCAGCTCAGCATGGAGCAGAGGATGATGATTTTTGCTCTGTGCTCTGCAGAACTGCATCTGGTCCCTTTGCCTGCCTGCCCTGGGAGGAGACAGGCTCCTGCCTCACCCCCAGCTGCTGTCACAGCCCCAGGGTCAGCCCCCACAGGTATCACTGGAGACCATGGGCTTGGCTGGGCCCCAGGGCTACCCCAGAACAATGTTTCCACTTAGACCAAATTTAAACATAATTTTGTCATTTTGGGTAACTGGGATGCCACAGAATACAATAGCAGAGGTCTGAGCCTAGCAGCCAGGGTGTAATAACTTCTGCCAACAAAGGCACCCAAGGACTGGCGTAGCCAACAAAACCTCTGGTCTCCTCATTCATGAACCAAAACATTGCAGGTAGGTCAACTGGGAGTGACCTTCAGCAGAGGTCTGGCACAAGGATCCAGTTTGCACTTCTGCATGTGCTGTATGCCACACCAAATAATAATTGGTGTTACCTTCTTACTTTCCCAAACTCATCCAACCAAGAAAATTTTATTTATTGGTAGAGAACTAAAATTATATGGGTTTGATATGTCAGTTGATCAAAACACAGGTGGCAGAATGGTAAAATTTCAATGTCAGCCACCTGTTTGGACTGCTACAGCTTCTGAAAATAAGGCTTGGCATCTGCTGGTGTGTCTAAAAACAGAACTCTTATTTGTTTGGCAATACATTGTTTGGGATGCCTCCTGATGCATGAAGGGAAAACTGTTTCTTAATAAGCTTATTGACATGGCCTGGGCTTTCCCACCAAAACAGAACTCCTGGAAAGACTAGGTGAGTCAACCTTAAATTCCTCAAAACTCATCTGACTGCTCATGAGCAGGATTCCAATGGGAATTAATAACTCCCTCAGCTCTCTGCCACAGTCCATGCCCACATGAGCACTGGGAATCCTGCAGTCTGTCCAGCCCATCCCAGGGGACCAGGCTGAGCTCCCACTGGCTCTCACTTCAGCAAAGCCATGCTGGAACTCATGTAGGGAGCTGCAAGCATGGAGAAGACTCTGACTCTTTTTCATGGACTAATGAGAAATGTTCCAACCCATAATTAGCATTCTGTGTTGCAAACAGTCTGTGATTTAGATTATTTGCTGTTTGTCCACACAATATTATTCACATTAAGGATGGTAAAATGAAGGTTTCTGGCACCACTGAAATTTTTCCATTCTATGGACTTTTCATCCTGGATTGTGTCTGGGCCTTGGCTGCCAAGCAGACGCATTTCCAGGATGTTGTTGATGAAAGTTAGCCTGACAGTGCTTTCTTAACTTGCATTCTTTCAGCCTGCTGGTCTGAATCCTTTCCTTTCTAGGAATTATGTGGAATAGGGAGGGTTTTTTCCTGACCTCCCTGCAACAGCAGCAATCCTGCCTCTGAATTCTCACACACAATAATTTTCCCTCCCTTTCCGAAGTGCTCCTGCATCTGCATGTTTGCATGGATTGGGCAGGTCCTCACCCAGAGCCAAAGTGCTGTAAGAGGTTGCCCAGCATCTCTCACGTGATGTAATCTCAGAGACACTGCTTGATTCTGGCTTTTCTTGTGTACCCACTGCCAAGAGACCTTTCCAGGAGAGTAAGAACATTTTCATTCTGTTTTCTAGTCATTTCCTGCTGTGACTACGTAGTGGGTAAGTTGAATTTTTCACATTATAAATGTGAGCCATCCATAGCATTAACCTGAGTTCGCTTTTTTAGCTGGTGGGATGCACTGTGCAAATATACCCTCCATTTACACAGCATTTTGTGTTGTCAGTGGTTGTTGCTTTTTCTTCTCAGAGTAAGCAGCACAATGATGTGTTCTGGTGCAATTTTAAACAAGACATCTAGTAAGACAGATAGTGGAAACAAAAATTAAATCCCTGAAGCTATTTTTAATTTAAATATAATTAATATATTTTATGGCATTAGAATAGGTACAGGTTTCTCACTAAGATATGCAAGGAAAGCACCCCAAGCTAAACAATAGTTCTCCCTGCTGAGTTCCACATGAGGGGAAGAGACAATTCATTTATATGCTGACAGCAGGGTAGAAATAATAAAAATAATTGGTTTTTTTCTGTTTTTCGTTTGAGGCCTGGCAGCCTCACAGACCCCCAAGCTAATGAGTGTATCTGGATATTCTGATGGTGATCATTTCTAGAGCCCCTGCTGTAGGCAGTGCAGCAAAGGGCAGAGAGGTACCCATATACATGTATATATGCACACACAGACCTATAGTTTTGGGAGGCCAAAAAGCCTCAAGCAGACATCCCCAAATCCTTCAGCTATTGCTATTGTCCAGGAAGAGGGGCTGTATGCTCATGACAGTGGAAGCATCATCTAGAGCTGTTATTGGGCTAGAAACAGGGTACTACAGGCAGAAAAGGGCCCAGTGGAAAAGCAAAGCAAATATTCTTCAGGGTGCAGTGGAAATGTGTATCCAGGGCAGGAACTGAAACAAAACCTCCTGTATCCAGGTCCAGTGCTTTTCTCAGATGAGTTGCCATGAGACTGGGCACAGGTGTGTGCTCTTCCAACAAGCAATTTAACTAACAAATTTAAGCTTTAAATTTCTAATTGTAATCTAGAAAAGCAAATTTGATTTTCAGCACCTAAATGTAGTGATGGACTGAAGCTGTTGTGAGCATAGTTCATCCCAATTTTGCAGGTGGAATTATTCTTCTGTATTATTATTATTTTCTGTTCATGGATAGAACATATTTCATAACTGAGAGGACATAGGGAAAGCCCACTTTTACATTTGAGATCACCCAGAAATTTCACATGGAAAGCAACTTTTTAAACCTGAACGGGTTACAAGCACTTCATATGAAAATGTTGATGTGAAAAGTTGTTCAGCTTCCACAGGAAGGTTTCCTTGCTCCCACGTGTGCTCATCAGCCGAGCCCCACGTTGGAAAAGGCAGGTGGGCACCCAGTCAAGAGCTGTAGCCTGTGGTGTGGGAAATCTCACAAGGGAAACACCAACTCCCAACCCATAAATCTCTGCAAAACCAGAAAGTAGTGAGCAATTCCCTGGCTAAACACCTTCATATCAACCCTTCATAGAATAATGCCAAATAAACAAATTTATAAAATCTGAAGTCTCCACATGGATAATTTGCAAACAGAAAGAAAGGCTAAATTCAAATGAATAAATTACTTGCTGCAAATAACTCACTCAGATCTATTATGGGACATTGATTTGGTTTCTGGTTAGCTATAAAATGACTGCCTATTAACATTTTACCTTTTCCCCATACACTTTTTGATACATTATTATGTGTTTCTGGCTTGGTTTTATGACTTTTACCTTCCTCTCTGTACATCTGTATGACAGTTTAATTGACTGGTGTGTATTCCAGGGCTCGGAGTGGAAGCTAATTTAAATACGTTACAGCTAATGTTGGCCCTTTACCCATAATAATACACTCCACATTTTTATCTCCTTATTGATTATGTGCATATGGCAGGAAAATAGCTGCACACTATGGGTTTTATTCAGGCATGAATTTGGCTTTATACTGCATGTTTAATACTCTAAGTGCTTTATGAAATAGTGCCGACTGTGCAATGGCCATGCAGGCAGACAGAGCAGCCAGATCTGAATCAAACTGCATCCCCAAGGCCCAGGGATGGATATGCAGGCAAGGACTGGGATGCAGCTGCCAGCAAGCTGAATGCAGCCCTCTGATTTCCACATGTGTGCTGTGCCCAACCCGAGGCACTTTAAACATATTTGAAAAATATTTTGAAAGCAAGAAAAATCTTTTCAGTACCCTCCTGCTGAAGAGCAAGTGCAGAGGATGTCCTGGTGTAATTAGCAGACATAGCACTTGGAGAGTACTTCACACCACCAGAGCTTTCTGGACATGCCTCTTGGTTAATGGAGCCATGTTTGGGTTCTTTGCACAATTAGCAGGAGTCCCAAACAAGCTGACTTACCAGGGAAAAGGACAGAAATCTATAGCTTCTCTCTTTTATGGAGCATTTATGAACATTAAATAATTAGACCAAGTAGCTTCATATTCTCCTAGTACTCAACATTTAGGGTAAAGGTATAAAAAATAATTGCTGGAGAGGAAGTTGAGATCATGCATTAGCTATGCTAATCCTGTTCTTATTGTATATAATTAAACTCTTTAAATGCTCCATTAGATGATATCTCTCATACTCACCACCCTCCATCAGGAGGTGTGACTCACTACCACTTAACTGATGCCGACAGAAGTGCTCACCACCAGAGCCCTCTGTACCCTGCTGTTGCCAGAAAACTGGGACAAAGGCATCAGCAGGGGATCAAATTTGGGAAGCGTTTAAGATGGCACTAAAATAGTGCTGCTTTCTTTTTTCTCCTCATCACCGTTCAGCAGATGACAGGACATCATCTGGATTGCCTGTGCTCCTGTGGCTCTCGTTTTGTGCAGTGCTGATTCTTGCTGTGAGCCTCTACTACACCAGCATGAAGCAGGATGCCAAAGTCCTGGAGGAATTTCAATCCCGACTTGTCATATTCTTCCTTCATATAAGACACATTGCTCAGAGGTGCTGGACTTGGTTTATGAGGCAGTAGCAGTGTCCTTCAGCCTGACACTGCTAAGAAACATCAGTGCAAAGCTCCCAGCCTACTGCAGCCACATGCAAGGAACACATGAGCATCTACCCCAAAGAGCAAGAAAATCACCCCTGCTGTGCACCATCTGGCAAACACTTGTTGTCCTTTTTCCTTCTTTGTTGTTTGGGGTTTTCTTTCACATCAATGAACATTCAAACTAATGCCTCCTCAAGTCTCCTAAGAATTATTTTGCAAAAGTTAAAATAAAGCTGAGCTGTTGCACAGACACTGCTCTGGTGGTCAAAGGCTTGGCAAGCTGCTATATTTATATACCTGAAATGATTATTAGTAAAATCCCAGCTAACAGCTTTCTTGTTTCCCTTCATGCTTTGTTTTTCCTCCATGAGAAAAAGCTGGCTCTTAATGCTTCACTTGACTCCCAGCTGTGAAAAAGAACACGGAAACTCATTTAAACAGAAAATAGTTTATTTGCCTAACATAACAAATAGCAGCACTGGAACCCAGGTTAATCATCAAATCAGTAGTTTAATCCTCTGGGTTTGATTCTGTCCATAAACCCCACAGGCTGACATGCAAGATTTATGACAGTGCTTGTATTCAGACAGAGGTTATGCCTTCGTGTTCAAGGCCCTATATCATGGCAATGTGGATTGCTTATGAAGGTGTTGGATGCATAGTTCCTTTATCACTCCATTGTCCCCCCATACTATGAATTTTTCTGAAAGAAATCCTTTCAATGGAGATCATGTGAAATGGTGCTCTTGGGTATCTGAGAGGAGAACAAATGACTGCAAGTTCATGAGCTCCAAAGAACCGACACAACCAGATTTTTAGACCTTAGATTCTGCTAAGGTAGCACCTGATGTGTGCTTTGGTTATTTTTGATGGTAAGATTGACATCAGAACCTCTAAGAGCTGAAGTAAAAGGGAAAAAATAGGGGGGAAAAAACACTCCAAAGATGAAGAGATGTCTGCAAGACCTTGGCTTATATTCCCCTTGCCACTGCAACAATCAAAAAGAAAATATGGTCCTTTATTTTTAGTTATTTTTTCAAAAGAGGGCCATGCATCTGCCCTTCTCCCATGGAGCCCAAGAACTTTAACCAGGAGACGATAAACAAACACCTGAGATAACCTTTTCTTAGGAGAAGAGGGGTCAGCAGCTTGATTGAGAACAAGTCAGAAAAATTGCAGCCCAAGACAGAAAGTGCCTTCAGTGGTGACTCTCATGCCCCTCTTAGGCTGTCAAAGCCACAGGGGTGGCATGGGGCAGGAGCTGCCTGGGGAGCAGAGGTTGCTCTGGTCTGGGAAGCAGAGAGTGCTGCAGGAGCAGTGTTTGGCACAGGGGCTGTGTGCAGATCACTCAGGTACCCCAGCTCAGAGGGTAAGTCCCACCACTGCTTGCCTCCCCTCTCCACTGTCTCAGCCCTGTTGTTTAGGTAATAAAGAAGAAAGGTTTTAAACATGTGTGCTGGTGAATCTCTGGGGAAAACGTTTAGATTGGTACATGGAGCAAGGGGGTCATTTCGACTTCTGTTAGCATTTTTTAATGTTAGTGGAGTTTTTAATGTCAAGGTTGAACTCTTTGGCAAATCAGTGGTGTTTCTTTTTAGCTCTGGGCTGACTCCTCTTAGGACTGTGAGGGAAAATGTAGAGCTGGTGTGAAGACCATATATGTGCTCACCTTCCTGCACAGCTCCCCAGGAGATGGATAGAGGACCACCTTTCCACTGAGCCTGCTTTAAATGGAAAATGTCCACGTTCCTTTTCTTGGGCCCAATTTATTAGTGTGAGAACTGCTATCACATCTGGACTGTCAGGGATATTTAGCAGAGGAACAGCTATTTTTGGCTTTTGTGTTGGCTCTGTTTGGGACTGTTTTGGGCATGGGAAAAGGCAGCACTTGAGTTATCTTGAGACCACTGATGAGGTCTCACCATGGCTTTACAAGGTCTCCCAGGTCAGGATTGTTTACAGTGGTCAGTCAGATACTTGGCAGGCAGCAGAAAGACAAATTAAATTTGCCTCAAAGCCAGAAGGTTTGAAATAAATAAAAGTTAAAACCTGGCAGAGCAGTGGCATCTTGTAGGTGAAGGAGCTGAAGCTAAGAAAGCCATTGCATGTGGGAGTGAATAATGTAGGTCATTAACATGACTGGGAATAGGAGAAAAAATTCCATCTCCTGGGCCTACAATTTTTTATTGCTGCACAACTTCACTGTGGACTTACCTCTTTTATTTCCTTCTCACACTGAAGATCCTTTTCCATTCATCCATCCTTAAACACAAGCAAGCCCTTTTACCTCTCTGCCCCTTCATTCTTCAGCCATGATAGCTTTTTCCTCACCACTGTGAGCTGGATGTGATTTCTCCTTATTCTTGTTGAGTGGTGTTTTTAATGGGTGTGACACCTGTATAAGTTTGGATCTCTAAAGTTACATAAAATCATCTGTGTTGGGTAATAATCCTCTTGCTGGTCATGTTGGGTAATATTTGCCTTCAGTACAACTCCTGAGAATTCCTCAATAGAGGTAAAAAGGAGAAAGAGTACATAATTTATTGCAAACAGTGGAGATGCTCACCTGAATCCACACTGGAGCCAGCTTGGTGACTTGTTTCAGAAGTCAAAAGTCCTGCAGCCAACCAGCTCTGGGCAATTGTACAATGAAGCTTGGAAATAGCTGTGTTTTAGATATAAAGGACTGGAAGAGGTAGTGATGTAGGACAAGACCCTTGGTGCAGTTTTTGAAGCAGCCAGTGGGTAGGAGGAATTCCCAGGAGCAGTGTCTGGGGTGGCAGGAGACAAAGGGCCAGGGGAGAGTAGCAGGTCTGTGCATGACAACGGACTAATAGCTAAGGGTGGAAGTGCTGCTTAAATTCCCTTATGCACTGAGTATGTAACTAACACACAACAGAAATAAGCAGACCACAAAAGAAGGGTGTTGTTTTGACAGTGTTCAGCTGCATTCCTGCAGTGTGAACTGTTGGAGGGCAGCTGCCAACACCCTCTTCAGGTACATCAGCAACACCTGATTGCAGCAGCAGGCATATCCATACCCATATGATTAGAGGAGATAGAAAAAGACACAGAGAGATGACACTGGATGGTTTTGCATTAACCTTTTGATGCACTCAGCATTAGCACCAGTAAAAGGCAGTCCCAAAGCCTGCCTTGAGTCCCCCTCCTTCCCTTCATCTCTCCAACCCTGATAGTCTGGAAATGAGCCCATAGCAGCAATTGTAATTGTCATTTCTGCCTTTTGCCACATAGAAGCAAGCAGAAGAACTGGCAGCTTGTGACTATAAAAGGGGTGTTACCAGCTGCCCTCAAGGACCAACTCAGGAACCTATAAGATAATAAATAGTGTGGACTTGTTTCTTATTAATTCCTTGCTCCAAGATAGCTGTTAGGAACCTTTAGGCCCACCTCTGAAGAGAAAGACTGATGCTACATGACAAAAATCAAACAGCTGGCATTTAGAAAATTAGCCTGTCCATTCAGCCCGTGGTGTCCCCTTACATTTGGTAACAAACTGCCTTTTAGCTGCACTTTGACACAGGACCATTTTCTCCTTGTCTCCAATGGCATTAGGGTGAACTGCTGGAAGAGGATACCAAAAGGAGATCAGGCAGCTGAGGATGGTTGATGTTAACTATACAAGTTGTGGCATGGAGAGGCTGGAGAATGAGTACAAAGACTCTACCACTGACTCTGAGAAAACTTTTTCTATCTTACTTTGTAACAATTTAAACTCACCTTCAAAGAACAGGCACAGAAATATGGACTTTTCAAATAATTTATTTTTATATTTCACCAAATCATAAAAAGCCGATGCACTGTTCAGCAAAAAGCATCAATATATAAAACACATTAACTCATTATCAGTAATGCTGAAGTGTACCACATACACTGAACCCAGCCCAGCTCCTACTAAAGCCAGAGGAAACTCAGTGACTCCACTAGCAGAAGGATTGGACTCAGCATTTTTTCTTTGCTGGGTATTTACAAAGGGTTGTATTAAAATGCTAGTAAAAAGCTTCCCTTTTGAGACTGTATCAAAACAATAATAAACCTCACTCTCTTTCTGGTTTTGTCAAACACATGCAATTAAAGCTCAAAATTTGCAGTCATTACACTGCAAAAGACCATACAAATCAACAGAGATAATAATATTCAAAAGAGGCCAGGCTCTACCCTTGTGTGGACTGGTGTGGTTGCTCACAGGATAATCTATGTACACTGGTGAGGGATCTGCTCCTTCACTGCTTTCAGTGGTTAAACAAATTATGAAAAAATGTTCAGTTTCCTCCCCAAATACTCATTGCAGGAACCTTTTCAGCAGCATTAAAAAAGAAAATAAATAAATTTTAAATAATAATAATAAATAAATTAAAAAAAAAAAAAGAGCAGGTAATCTAGGCTCCTATAAAGCTTTTCCCAGGTGGGTATAAGAGACAGTAGTTCATGAATAAATACATCAGAGGGCACATATTTCAGAGAGGCTGAAAGGCTCTACGCTGACTTAATCTGCCACACAAAACCACTAAACCTTTCAAAACTATGGGTGCTAACAAGCTACATTCACAAATGCCAAGTGTACAGAGATTTGGGAACAGTCTTTCCTTGCCCATGCAAGTCACAAGCTGCACAGGAGAAAGGGCCAGTGTAGGCTATCTGGATCTCCAAGATCCAGATCTTGCTTTCCTCCAAGTCTGGTGGCAATGTCAGCACCTTTAAACCTGCAGAGCTGGCACAGGTGGCTCTCTCCAGAAGCTGACTTTATGTCAGTACATGCTTCAAGAGGATGCTCTGCAGTTTGAGAGGCCACACGAGCAGACAGGGGCTGGGCAGGCCAAGCAAAGGCTGAAATTGGTGCCCATACCACTCCCTCATATCACAGCCCAAAAGCTGAAATCCCTCATAGGAAATGCACTAACTCCTCATTACCTGTTTTTGTTCAGATTGATGTCACTGTCCTCCTGTCCTTGTCTCTGCTAGGATGAGATGTGAGAAGTAAGGCCCAGTTATTTTGATAACAATAAAACCCTCCCTGATGTTTGCAGAAACATTTTTGCTGATGAAAAGATCCAGCAGGAAGGGATTTCATTGGAACTGTTGGGATTTTTTGTTATTGTTGTTTTGTTTTGTTTTTTGTTTTGTTTTGTTTTTAAATGTTCAAAAACCCCTTGGGAGTGCACTTCAGATCTCAATATATTGATTTGTCAGCTGTATAGCTTGGGCTGTTTTAATCAGAGAGTGTTTGACCAGAATTGCTCTGACACC